CATCATAAATCTTAAAATAGTAAAAGTATTGACGCCGATAACATGCATATAAAACCTATAAAATACGTTATTGATAAAATTGCACCATATATATTACCTTGCTCTTGAAACCGGGGCTTCCCCACTTAAGATGCAGGTATCAAAAGTTAGTGTCCTACATAAAGGCGGTGATATGTTCGACATATGCAACTATACGCCCATTAAAATTCTTCCTGTCTTTTCTAAGCCACTCGAGAAACTTCTACATCAACGACTCCTAACGCATCTCGGTAAACATTCTTTAATTTCTGAATCACAACTTGGATTTCGTAAGCATCGATCTACTGAAATAGCATTGCTGAATCAAAAAGAACTCATTTTAAAAGCATTCGACGCAAAAAAGTTAACATTGGGCGTTTTCCTCGACTACTCAAAAGCATTTGATTCAATTAATCATGACATTTTACTTGCAAAATTACCATTTTATGGAATAAGAGGCATAGCGCATGATATTTTAAAATCCTACTTATTAAATAGAAATCAGTACGTGTCTTTTCCAAATTTTCATTCAGATAGGCTACCCATAGCATCGGGGGTTCCCCAGGGCAGCATCTTAGGCCCATTGTTATTCATTTTGTACATCAACGACATCGCAAACGTGGCTCAAAACACTGATGTAAAACTGGTAATTTACGCGGACGATACCAGCATTTTTTCTTCCCATGACCATATCTGCACTTCCATTTCCGCAATGCAAGAGGTGTTAGAACAAATTAGTGCCTGGACACTAAACAACAAATTAAAGTTAAATTTTAGTGAGACCAAGGCTATTTTGTTTAAACCTAGAAACAAAATGATAAACGATCCACTTTGTTTTAAAATCAATAATGAACAAATTGAATTTGTAAACTGTATTATATTACTGGTTGTGTTGTTTTCATAAGACATGAGCTGGAATGCTCACATAGATTATGTCCAAGCAAAGCTATCCAAGAGCGTCGGCTTAATAACAAAGTTTAAAACAATACTTCCTACTCATATTAAATTAACTATTTATAAATCGTTAGTTTGTTCCCATTTAAATTACTGCAACCTTATTTGGGGCACCACAACCAAAACAAACTTGGCAAAGTTGCACCTTTTACAAAAAAAGGCTGTACGTGCAATGTCTTCTGTTCCCTCGCCACCCTACTGCCTCATTATTTCAGGCCCTAAAAGTAAAAACAATTCAGCAAATTTATACGTTTAAACTATTAACAATGCATCGTAGGGCTGTTCAGCAAAACAACGTTCATTACATTCACTTAGCTAACCTAAAACATCGCATCATCCTGCGCGACCTTAGGCGAAATCAGCCCGTGGTTATCCGTCCATCCCGCACAAATTACCTTGATCAGACGCTTCATTTTAATTTGTCCACCATACTAAACACTTTGTACAAAAATAGTATAAATTCAGAGGCACTTTCACATAAAGGGTTAGTAAATTTGGTTTTTTCTCTATGACTTTTTGAATACTGGCGTTGTTTTTATCCTGTTTGCTTTCTTTGTGTATTTGCTGACCGCTGGTGTGGTTTATTGCCGGGTATTGTGTGTTTCGTTTTTTTGCCTAAAGTGCTCATTACACAAAACATTTGTATAAGATGTGTCTACATTTATGTAATATAAAGTTGTTTTTGTTGTGTGTTTTTTGTTTTTATTTACCTTTTTGCTGTTCCGAACTGCACGGGCGCTGGGACCCTCGTCAAGCTGCTACCCAGCAGCTTTTTGTCCCAAGTCCCCGGTTGTCATGTTACGAGATGTGACAACGAATAAAACTTGATTTGATTGGATGATTTGATTCAGTAGCGCCTTATTAGCGCTTCTTGTACCGCGGTAACTGCTGCGGATTAGCGCGTGCACTGCGGTTCCGGTTCCTGTGGTTTGGTGAGCATCAGCACCAGCATGGAGGACATCTGGGACGCTGAAATAGAAACGCGACGAATGCGCTTGAATACGTTATTAGTGCATGTATGTCTGTGGACGGCTTAACGACCAGAAGAGCCTTCTGAGTGCGCGAAATATTTCGCCATCGAGATACCAACGGTCACCCTACGAACATTGTTCCCAGGCTGAGGGATTGTGACACAGAGCTCTATCGGAGGTGAATATGAGTTCTGGCTTTAATGGAACAATCATGGATGTCGTTCTCTTTAGCAGCCGAAAATCCCAATTAATTGAGGCGCTACTAAAATTTCTAGCTTCCTACGTATGACGTCCGCTATAGCTTCACCACTCTACTCGAGACGATTGGCCCTCTGATAACGCCACAAGGCACAGAATAGCGATAGAGTATCCCGGCTGAGCAACTGCTCATACTGACACGGAGGTACGTGGGCTTCATTTATAAAAGCACCTGTCGGCTCACAAAGCTAACGCCGTGAAACATGACTTTCTATATCCGAAAGCACAACTCCATAGCTGTTGAACCCCTCATGAAAAAAAAGAAACATGCCTCTCTCTCTCTCTAAATCCGAAAACGATTTTAAAATGTAGTATTTCACTCAAGGTGCTGTGATAATAAAAATCATAATATTCGAAGTCCCTAGCATCGAGGCCACATATCTATTTATGGGAGGTATAATTGCGATGAACGTTTACATATGGTATTCAGTGGCAGAGTTGCGGTTGTTGTAGGGTGCCTCGTCGTCTGTCTGGCAGGATGAAGACATCCTTTATCGCACCATATGCCACCTGCGCGTGCCAAGATAAGATATAGACAAGCATTGGGAAAATAAACTACCTGAAGGCACTGACCGAAGCTTTGAGCTCGAGCCGGGAGACATCAGAGCGCGTACACTTTACAAACATAAAAAAAAAACGATGGGGAACGAAATGGCCGATATGTCATCGGTTGCTGTAAAGTCCATTGATGTGATTTTTTTTTTAATTCATTGAGGCACTTTAGGCTGTTGCTGTTCAGCGCACGCTATCTGGGAACCGCAGTTTTCAGTATTCGGAAATGTAGACCCACACCATCGATACCACTGATCTCTATGACATTTTGCTGGAACGCGCTGCTACGCGATTTTGGATACCGGTCGGCTATATTCTGGGCATACCATAATGATCATCACAGACGCTGGTGAAGCTGCTTTTGCTGCACTCCTCCAGTGCTGCGCGTCACCTATTCTAACTTGTATAGCAGTTTCCGCAATGTCGAGTTAGTTATGTTGGTATGCCCGTAAACATGACCGATCGGTGGTCGCATTTGCATGGTGGTAAGCGCGATACAGCAAGTAAGTTTGGGAATCAGAGTTTTAGAGTGTCATTCTTGGCAGACGATAAGAGATTATTCATTCTGAGCCTGCGCTGTATGCGGAGCGCGCAAATACGACTCTCAGTGACGTAATTTAAGTGTCATATATTAGCCTAAGCAATGCACACGCTTTTCTTTGGAATGCAGTATCTTTATTTAGCAGATTTTTTTTTCAAAGTAGTAATAACTTGTGCTCATAGGTTCATTGGAAGTGGAGACACCCCAAAAAATATATCATTTAGATTTTTCACCGAGCACTCAACGACGAACGTGATCATTTCAAGCATATGTCAGACTCTATGGCAGTGTCTGCTCTCGAAACATGTGAGGACACCGGGCTTGCCGTCAAAGTGGGTGTCTGTTGCTGACGATTTTCACAAGTTGTGGGATTTTAGAAAACTGTGTTGGCGCCATGGACAGAAAGCACCTAACCATCGAGTTCCCGCCGCTGAGTAGATCAACACATTTAATCCACAAACACATATTCAGCTAAGCAAATTGGGACATGCCAATTTCCCGCGATAACTTGCCTTTTTTCGTTTCTAAATATTGTTTTAAGAATAGTGTTTAAATTTTAAGCCGCACGTAGCATAATATGAATACATGCAAGAAAGCCACGCAGCAGCCTCTTCTTAGTTATGTTTTACGTCTTTCATGTAAGTAAATAACTCAATCACTCACACATCTGTCCTAATAAGTTTGCAACTGTGCTCAAGGTAAATTATTTCGGCAGATTCAAATTGTTTTCTGTGGCCGATCTGCCCCGCTACTTTATAAAACACTGCTCTGAATTACTTTGTTGACCAGCGCACTCCCTAATATAATCTTTTATGATATTTTTCAGGTCCTAATCGGTGCCGTTGACGCCCGGTACCACTTTTTGCTGGTGGATATTGGCCGTCCCGGCAGTAAAAGCGATGGTGGCATTTTATCGAGGAGCAAGATCGTGCTTAGCCTTGAAAATGGCACTCTTAGCTTTCCTTCATTGAAGTCCCTGCCTGAGACAAGCTAAAACATGCCTTGGAATACATATTAGCGCTCAAAACACAATGACAAAAACACGAGAGTCAGACACCACAGTGCGCACTGTGATGTCTGATTCTCGTCTTTTTGTCCTTGTGTTTTGAGCGCTAAAATGTATTCAGTGTTCTTAAACCGCTAGCCCAACAATATACTCTACTAAAACATGCCGTTCGTCATTGTTGGAGATGAGACATTTCCTTTTAAAACGTATTTAATGAAACCATACCCCAAAGTGGACATCAACAAAGGCCACCCCGATGAAGGCAGAGGACAAGCGTTCAAGAAGCGTGTATTTGACTACAGACTGCCCCGAGCCCGCAAGGTCTCAGAAACCGCTTTTGGAATTCTCTCAAGCCGGTGGAAATTTTTTAAAAGAATTTTCAAAGCGTCTGAAAAGAACACCGTTGCCTTCATAGGCGCCTGTGTTTCCCTTCACCATTTTCTGTTTCTGAGGTCCACAGCTGAAGCATTTACTGCCCTCCTGCACTTCTTGAGACGGAAAGTGACACGCGGATGGTTGAAGGGCCAAGTGGAGCAGAAAACACTGAAGGACGCACAGTGCTTCGACTGCTCCCTCGCATGACCAGCTTAGACGAACATGACCAGCCAGCGGCTCAAGTTCGGGATGGTTTTGTAGATTATTTTTCTGGTCAAGGTTCTGTCGAGTGGTAAAACGAGATCGTCATACGAGCGAGCTAGTTTTATTGCTGCACCACGTGTTCCCCTTCGTAGTCCAAGAGCCGCTGTTGCACGACGGATATTGCCCTGACGGCCTGCAGCCTAGGCATTTTTCTCAGTCGCCCTGCCACCATCATCCCAAAGTGGTGAAATTCGTCATTTGGGCGAGTCATCTGCTGCGCCAGCCTCGCTTCATTCAATCCTTGGAGGTTTTCTTTTAAGCAGTATACAGTGCCTTGGCGTCGTCTTTGTCTCTGAGATATATACTTTTAACAGTAGGAATAAGTTTATTTTCTTGAGATACGCTGCATGGTTTTCAAGTTTTATATTTTAACAGAATTGTATTGTTACGCTTGATTATAACACGATGTTGTTATAATGTGCGACCTCGTGTGTAGATACCCAAAATAAAAAACCAAGCAACTGACTTTTTGTTTTACCTCCCGCTATGCTTTATGAATTTCCATAATGGCGTAAACAAAAAAGGCGCGAAGAATCGGCGCACTCCTCCCTACCTCAATCATTGTTTTCTTTTTTAATGACACAATCCATTTTCTTACTTATTGATATACATGAATCAGCAAAACCTTTTAGCCTTGAGGTTCTCATTCAGAATACGAAATTATTCGATTTGTTCAGCAGCAGTAATTATGAGTTCTGAAAAGGAGAGCTGTAGATTAACGTAGATCACTAGTCGTAACCTTATATGCAGCAGACCCTTGGGACTCGTATCCATTGGTCGCAGTCACCCACAAATACATTTAAAGGAGAAAAAACAAGATTGTACAACCAAAGAAATCTGCAAGGATATACCTCGTAGTTCTTGTGACTCTTGTCTGCGCAGCTCAGTAAAAGAACATGCCAGATTGTGGCAGCTCAAAATGAAAGTGTTTAATACTGACGATACTTCTTTAATAAAGGCGCAAATAATGAAGAGAAAACATCAATTCAGTTTCAAATAAATTGCCTCTCAAATCCACTCAGGTTGTTCGTAGGATAAAAACAAATACTTTGTAGTACTAGTAAATTGTTTCTCTAAATATCGGTCCCTTAACAAATTACCTACAAAGAAATATTCCTGCATTATCGAAATAAATATCAAAACTCAAAATAACTAAAAAAAGAACAGCCAAACTTGCGTCTCACACCTCCCTGCTCTAAGGTATTTGTCCTGGATGCAGAAACAATGTTATTTTAGTAATCTTTCTACTGATGCAATAAATAGAATGAAAGCCAAGCTCACGCGTCTCCTGCAATCTCCGTTGTTGAACTAGTCTCGGAGCTGCAAATTACAATGTTTCCTTCAGAAAGAATACGAAAATCGCACCTATTTTTACCGATAGATGTGCATGTTGTAATATATTCGTGTATTCTAAACCAGAATCACAGCACTCCGAGACGCAGGTATGGTGACGCAAGGTTTGAGAGTGCCCTTCACTTACTTGTGGGCAAGAATTTCCGCTGCCGCGATGTGCTTATCAGAAGTTGTCATATTGTTGCTGCAATGTACCCCGCGGCAGAAGACAAATAGTGTCAAGCGCAAACTCAGAATTGATGCTTACGTTATGGAAGACACGCTGACATGAGCAGGGTGGTCTTCGTTCAAGCTGACAAAAGGTCTCGTTGAAGGGGTGAAGTTTGACAACGTCCTAGTAAGAATAAAGCAATTTCTAAACACGTTTAAATTGAACTCGATGTATATAAACCGTACGTACAACTCCTTTGGTACTTCCCGGCTTTTGAACAGGCAATCCATTGTTGGATAGTACTTCCAAGCTGGAGGCGAAGTGTAAGAAGAGTTTCTTTTCGTATTTTGCCCGAATCTTTGTTTTAACTTAGCAAATTTTCCTTTCATAGTTCGAAATGGATGAGGCGCCTCAATTCCCGAAATAACATTACCAGAACATTGCTCTTTCTCACACTATCTTTCATTTCCGCGCACTCATCATGCATATATGTTGTTTCAATCAAAACCTTACCTGATACCCCAAATTCCTTGCCGACCAGCTTCCACCGATTACTTTTTAACTGTGTGTCTTTGAAACCAGGGTCACACATGTCGAATAGAAAGCGACGAAGTCTTAATAAATTAATTAGACGCTCAAAGTCCATGACTCTGGGTCGCCTGCCTGACCGTTTACCTGGAGAGCGACTTTGTTAGTCCTCCTTTTTTCACCACCGCAGGAAAAGCAAAGACAACTGAATCGCCGTGCACGCGCTGTTCCGCTGCAGCAAGTATGGCGCAAAGAGCGTACGAGCGGTTACACTGCGCTGCTGAAGCGCTAAACGAGCGCTGCTAAAGCGCAAACCTAACGCTACGTCACGCGCAAGTCGGTGTTACATGAGCGCTGCTTCCATCGCTCCTGAGGCGCTACCTTAGCGCTCCGCCGTGTGTGTGAAACGACCTTTACATTGCCGCCCTCGACTCCTGCTTCAGTGAAACAATTGAGGAGGGCCAGGTAAAAAGGCGGCGGTAGCAAGCAGCAATATTTGATCACTTTGAATGCCTGGTGACTTGCAATAAAATTAATATACAACTGTCGAGTAAAAATAATGCCTCGGTTTAGAGAGCCGAGATCAAGTTACATATTTATTGAAAATTGTGCGAGCGGCGAGGAATGACTTCTAGTTGAACTTCTGAAATAATACAACCTCTACGCGAATTATTAGATTGGTGGACCACGACCAACCAGAATGGCAGAGCCTCATGAACTCGTTTATATTTGAAAAGTGCTGATATAAATGAGTCGTATTCGTATGGGCCTAGTGTGGCTTCAGCGTTAAACGGTACCCTGAATCTAAATTTAATAATCTCGATATGGAAGATTCTAAAACGGCATTAAAGCGGTCACATTATAGGTGAAGCTCCTTGGGAAGTTAATCTAACTCTGTGCGTCTGGTTTTGTAGGAAACCATCGTTGGAACTCGGTCCCAGTTTTGCTGTGCTGGACTACGGAACGGACATTTTTTCTACACTGCATCACTGCCGTGTCATCCTATCGTGGCCGCACGCGCTCGGTGTATCACCCTAGTAATCGACAGCCCTCATAATCAGCTGGCGAAACGACTGGAAGCTGTTTCAAGCGTCCAGACCAGTGTCCTATACACTCCGTGCGGGAACTATAGGGGGCGCTTTGAAAAACGCGCGCAGCGCCGCTAGCGGAGGAGCTGGCGTTCGACCGTGAGGCGCGCTCAGCAGCCTGCGGCGCCTTTTCGCATGCCAAGCTGTGGCGGCGGAAGCGCGCACGGACGAAACTTTTGCTTTTAGAGCGCAGCTCTTAAAGGCCCGTTCCCGGCTTGAGCGGCGTCGGCGTCGCCGTCGGCGTCGGCGTAACCAAGGTCACCCCAAGGTCACGCGACCCCCAAGGCCATCCCAAGGTCACGTGACCCCCAGAGGTCACGTGACACCCAAAGTCACGTGACCCCTTGAGGTCACGTGACCCGCCCCGCCCGAAGTCACGTGACACCCCGCCGAGGTCACGTGACCACCCCCAGGGTCACGTGACCCACCGCCGAGGTCACGTGACCTCGCCGATGACGTCATCGTCACTGATGACGTCACCGGCATCCGCATCGTCATCGTCATCATCACTGATGTCGTCATCAGTGATGTCACTGATGACCTCACCGGCATCCGCATCGTCATCGTCATCATCACTGATGCCGTCATCAGTGACGTCACTGATGACGTCACCGGCATCCGCATCGTCATCGTCATCATCACGGATGACGTCATCGGTGACGTCACTGATGACGTCACCGACATCCGTGTCGTCACCGTCATCATCGCTAATGACGTCATCGGAGTCCGCATCGTCATCGTCACTGATCACGTCATCAGTGACGCCACTGATGACATCATCGGCATCGTCACGTGACTCCCCAAGGTCACGTGACCCCCCCAGGTCACTTCACGCCCCCCCAGTACCCTTCCCTCCTCCTCCTCAAGAGCTGCGCTCTAATTCGGTGTTACAGGGAGTTGTAAACGGCTTTCACTTTTTTTGAGCTGATAAGTTGAGGGTGACGTTGTATGAATGCTGGGGCAGACCTAAAAAGGGCATTTAGTTGTTCTCCTCTTCTTATATATTGAGTTTTAGTCGTTATTCGGGAGACTTTCTCTAGTTGCGGCCAAAAAAGGAGTTAGAGCAATTTTCCGAAAAGCAAGACGTCCGCCACCATAATTGCTTTGAGTGGGAAATTTATTTCGCTCGTCGCTGTAAACGTAGGACTGCTGGAACGATGATATTGGAGGCGAGCGAGATGTCCACTAAGTTTCTGCACGAAGTGTGCCAAGTTTCATTAAGACAGCAGGTGTGAAAGTTGTTTCTAACGAGTAAAGAAATAAAGCTGTACGGTATATGATATATCCAATATTGGACCCAAAATGTTGTGTTATAGCGGGCTGTGCAAAGTGCAGATTTGGGCACACAGGTGCTTGGACTTGACAGTAACATGACACAGCACTTATTATACAAAAAAAAGGTGGCATAGGGTAGGGAAACCCGGTGAAAATTTGGTTTGGGCGGCGTAACTCAATGGGAACCGGTTTTGACCATGAAAAGGCTGTCAAGAGAATACCACTGGTCGCGAGAGGTGGAGACTTTAGAGGTAGGAAGGGACTAGTGGACTGTACTTCCAATTGAAACAACTTTACGAAAGGTTGTTCCAAAGCCGAGAAAGCGAAGTTGTCGGCCAACACACGGTTAAGCCGCCAAGGGCTTTTGCGGTGAGCTGTTGTGTAATAACCTGTTGTGCGAAATGCTGATTTTCGGCCCACAGGTACTTTGATATGACCGTCACTTGGCACAACACTTATTATAACAAATATAGTTAGCATAGCGAAACCAGGTGGAAATTTAGTTTGGGCGGCGTAACTAAATGGGAACTAGCTTTGACCGTCAAAGGCTGTCAGAAAATACCACTCATCGTGGGAGGTGCACACTTTACAGGTAGGAAGGGACCAGTGGACGGTACTTCCAGTTTGAACCACTTTGCGATAGGTGGCTCTAAAGCCGAGAGAAAAAAAATTGTTGTCTACAGAACTCGGGGTGTCAGTGTTTCCACATCTAAAACGAGGTTGATCAAGAAAGAAAGCACACCACATAAACTTCCATACTCCAACGCCGATTCTCCAGTGATTCCGAGTTTCATGGTTGTTTTCTTTAGATTTATATTTGTCACTTTTTTTACCGTTCAAATCTTTCTTCATGAAGTACAGATTGTGTGCCATATTTGTCCGGAAATATCATCGACACGTACGATGGGGAGGAAACTTCTTTGGAGGGGCATTCCTCCAACGAAATTGGCACTGCATACCCGGGAGTGTGGGATGGCATTTCAGTTCGTCCCATCGGCGCTGACACATGTAGGCGTTACTGGTACGAAAACAAACGCAGAGCGCAAAGCGGCAGTGTAGAATATGTCAGCCGTGCCGACACAGTGGCAAACATGATCGGGACACCAAATTTCTCGCGTCGTACGGCACGGCTCCATCGTTGTCGCTGTCCCACAAAACATCGACGAGGTGAAAAACTGTGACACTTTGTCTCCACGAGATACGACGCATAACTATTGAAGCCCTTAATGACGCGGCACAGGCAGCTCTTCATGCTGGGGACACAGCGCAACAGCACCACTCCGACTTCAACGCGTACCAACGTACGCGGCGTGGTTTCGGTTTCGTTTTCTCAGGGGTGCTCACTGCCTACCTTCGGTACCGGCCGCGCGGCGGCGCGGCAGTCGCGTCGCATGGAGTGTATAGAAGCGTCGGTGGCGGCACGACTTGTTGCAGTCCTGCGAAATGCTTTACCTCGGACCCTTAATCCAACTCTGTGACTCTCGTTTCATAGGTAAGCGTTTTTTTCTTTGCTTTTTTTTCACCGTGTTTGGAGTTGATGGCATTTTGATGCTCTGCATTAGACCAATCTCACCAGCCAGCTTGGTTACGCCACCGCTGCCGCAATGCAACGAGGGAACTGTGGTCTTTTTGCACGTGCGAAAACGTCTCGGGTTCTGCGCGCGTGCAGAACCCGAGACGGCACGAGCCGTCTCTGGCACTGTCGCCTGCTCCCTGTGAACTAATGTCACGGTGGCTTCACGCATGCACCCAACGCTTAATGAGGTCGGTCTAATTTCTTATCTGTTTTTACATCCTGTTAAGATGAGTGACTCCATTACATGTATAAAGCACGTGGCCTCCGAGTATGTTCAGTTAAAACGCTTGCAATGTAAAAACGAGCAGCACGCGGGTAAGTGCTTTGGAGTTACAAAAACGTCTTTAAAAGAAATGTCGCAAGACCACCTGATGACTGGATGTGGAACACATTCATAATGCATGCCCGGTGTCAGCCCACTTTCTCGGTGGGTTCACAGCCAACAGGGGAGTGATCATTGCCTTCACAGAACCGGAAAACTAAGCCTCCACTGCCTAAACCTGTATCCTCTAGTGGCCGTGGCAATAAGCAAAACAAGGCACTGGATATCGCTACCATGTTGGTTGCAATGGGTGTATTCACACGGCGGACAAATGAAGGGAACCTGGAGCCCTATGTTGCGCTTTTTGGACTCTTACGGCGACTAGGAAGAAGGAAGTGACGTCAACAACGCAGCAAACACAGATTGGATGTTTCTTCTGCGGAAATTCTTAGTCAACGACTCTCACCCATCAACATCCAATCTGCGTTTTCAGCGTTGTTGACGTAACTTCCTTCTCCCTAGTCGCCGTGGGAGTCCAAAAAGTTCAACATAGGGCCCCAGGTCAGCGGACGAGAGAACTATGCGTATCACGCTCTACATCCCATGCTAACCGTGGACCGAAGTGAGGACTGCGAGTCCGAGTATAGTAGCTTCAATTGCTGCTTTCGCTGTACGTGCTACCAAACAAGATCAAGTACCTCTCAAACTTGGGACCTTTTGCCCATAGCTTTCACTACACTCCAAGCTAAGAAGAAAAAAAAAAAACACCAGGCAGCGCACGTGACGGTGAATTTAGCGTCTGGCTGATCTGCTAGTGAAGAAGACAAAGATGAAGTGCACCAACGACGAAACGGCGGTCTTTCTAATTTTTCTCGTGGAACAATTTCCTCAACTCCAGTGCTTTCAATGCGGTCAGT